AAAGGTTCCTTAGGGTTAGAAGTACGTCCAAGGCCTATTTTTGTGAACGCTGCCTAAAAGGTAAGAGACATACGAATACTTTCTAAAAAAACCCTTCCTGACCCGGAGTCCATTTCAATAGATTATATTATTTTATTATAAGACTTTATTTGAAGATTTTATTGTAATAAAATCCCAAGTAAATATAAAAATTCTATAAAAAGAACTAGATGACACTAATGTAGTCTTTATTTTTTCCGATTTAGCTTTCGTTTTTAATTTTGCGGTATTTCCAATAACTTAACTGAATGGGGAATTGTTAATCTAGCCAAATACAACAATTAGCTGTTTTCGTTAGATGACGCTACTGTGTTTTTAAAACTGGCGTATTTGTTTGTTAGATATTTGTAATTTTAACACAAGATTTCCTAATAAATTACATTTGACGTTTATTAAAACCGACTATTATAAGAGAACTAAAAACATGGGTAGTTGATAATTCTTTTTTTTATTCAGTAAATAAGTTTTTAAACAAAAGATAATGTTTGTAACACTTTAATTAAATGACATATAATAATTAATAACTTAGCACCTACAAATAGTTTAAGATATTGCATGCTGTTTAACTGTAGAATATTAGATACTTATTTTATATATTGTTATTGTTTCATGTAGTATGTAGTTGGTTAGACTACCTCATACTTCCATAATCTTTGCATTAAGTTTAAAAAAAATAAAACATTTTTTTCGCTTGCCAAAATAATTTTAATATTTTTCTTTGCTTACGTTAACAAGTCAAATGATTCTAAAAACTACAGAGGTTTTAATTAGTTAAACATTAATTATTTATTTTTGTGCTTAAATAACGTGAAACATTGTAATTAGCTTTTTTGTAGTAGTAACATAAATACATCATCTGTTAAAAATTCAAATGTCTAATTTTCAACGTGTCACCATGTATGAGGTCATGATAACCAATTGGATTTAATCAATATAGAATTGGTCTTTACAATATTTTAATTGAATCACAGTATCATATGTAGTGCGACCCGCAATCGTTGTTGTTAAGCGTCTTTCGTATGGGTCGGTCACGGGATGGGTAACCAAAAATGATCATCTCATGCTACTCTATGCTTCGAAGGAACGACTTCGGTCTCGACTGTATTTACAGTCGTTAATACCCTTCAATCCACATCGGGTCTGCGTGGAGTGTCATGGCCCACCCTTCTAAACCATCCATAAGGAAGGCCTGAGCACCTGCAGTGGGAACATAAAAGCGCTGATGATATTTATGGCCAAATAATAATAATAAATACTCTTTATTCCACAAACCATGTTAAAATTACATAGACAAACGTAAATCTTTACATAAAAACGTATAAGAGGCCTTGTCGCTAACCAGCAATTTCTTCCAGGCAACCTTCTATTGAATAGAAAAAACAAACATCAGAGGGCAGATTGTGCGTAAAACAAATAAAAATTTAATTCATACAAAATAAAACAAAAAACGTATATAAATAAAAGTTATATTTATCTACCTATTCAGTACTTATGAAAATGAAATAATTTAATTAACCTGCGATCAACATGGTAGAAAAAAAGATAGAAAAAATGGCGGCCACCAAAAAATTGCATCGCCTTTTTACATCTGAAAGTGTAATATTCACCCTGAAAAAATAACACGACCGTATATAGTGGGTTGACAGGGCTTCCCACTTAGCATCCTATGTATTATTGATGATCCTGAAGGCCGTCCCCGCATTAAACTTTCATTGGTTATCAACGTCGTGAGTGACACGATAATTATATAACATCCTAATATCCGAGATTTTGAATCCTTTATATAAAATATGCAACGGCAACTTAGAAGCCAGGAAATCATGAGTTGTGGCGCTTCATAAAACACTTTAAGAACTGCCGCTTTATAACGCCCGTTTTTATTAAACTTAGAACAAGGCACACCTAATCTTACGAATCGCCTTAGCTTATTTGTTTAATTCCATGTAAACATTTTTTCTTTTATATCTTGACACATTTGTGACCTGTCTTATTACGCAAATGCCTAGCGCAAGGCACCTCACAACGTATATCATAACATTAGACATTGTTTAAAATCGTTAAATCGTTCCTAGTCATTGGTGAAATGCATTTTCACCTTAGGCGGTTCCTAAATATTTAGACCATTAACTTACTGGAAGATTATTCCCAAAGAAAGCTGGCAAAAACCAAAAAAAAATGATATTAATACAAACTATTAACACAAATTCTGTAAAGATTAACTAAAAGATAGCCATGTTTAAGATAGATAAATCTTTGACATTTTAATTTGGAATTGTTAAAAAAACTATCGTCACTCCTGCAGCGTTTCAAATCGGTACATCTAAAGGATTGTAGGTTCAAAATTCAGGTCACACCCACGCAAAACCAAATATGAACCGCTGGTAACAGATGCTAATTTCGTGAAATGAATGAACCTACAGTATATGCAACTAAACAGTGACTAAACGAAGCATGTTGTAGTTGCACAATCTACATGTTTCCATTTTTGTTATGTTATTCGAAACCATAAATCTAAATTCATTTTAAGATAAAGGAGGTAACGAAGGGTAAAATATATTAAATTAAACAATTTTAATTAGATATTAAATACTATGGTGGCACTGAAAATTAGATATAAGGAAAATAAGAATAGTGATCACTATTTTTAAATATTACCTATATCATAATTATTGTACTGTTACAATCCTAAATATACCTACTAACCCCAGGTACCTACCCCGAGATGGGACTCGAAATCATAAACCTTTCGCAGCCCAGGCGACTAATCCAACCATTAAGCTACCCGATATAAAATGTTTATGAATTTGTCAACTTCGAACTTTATTACTAGCTATTTTCCCGCGACTTTCTTCGGTTATTTAGAACTAAAGCTTAGCGGGTAACACCCGCATATATTGTAGCTTCCAGTATGTGAAAGAATTCTAGTTTCGGAGACCCTTCAATGCAAACAAAGAATTAAATCATTCCTATTTATAATATTAGTATAATAAACTGTCGAGCAAAAGTTCCAAGTTATTCGAAGCGATATGTTTGTTATATGGTGATAACTAGAATATTTTTAGCAACTCGGAATGTTAACATGGTTTTGAAAATGTATCGGAATGAAATTAGAATTAATACAATATATATTTTTAGGAAGAAATTGGCGCCAATTCCATTGCGCCAACCTCTAAACAAAAGTAGAATAGTTTAGTGCTTCCAAACTCACTTTGGCTTACTTTTGATAATTTGGTGTCAAAAATAGAATCGCGGCTCACGTACCTCTTATCTTCACGGACGTTATATTTCTTTCCACACATCTTTTCGTGATATTTTGCATAAGACATTTTATTATTAAAATATGTAAAGTTCCATCGCGATTCACTTTTATTACAAGTAGTTGAACTAGTTATTTTAAATGTCATACGAATTGCTTTATTTATTGGATCATCAATTACACAATCACATTAATATTAAATAAGCGGCACGACAACAGCTTAATAAAACTAATGAAGTATTTTATCTCTTTCAAATTATTATTATTTTACATATTTAGGTAAAAGATGTCAGCGCATCTGATTATAGCTAAAGGCTATAATCAGATGATCAGATAAAGGAAAGAAAAATAATAAAAAAATGCAATCGATTGCTATTTGAACGATGACTCCTAGAAATATGCTTTTGATGGATCCTAATTTGCTAATGATGGTAAAAGCAAATGTTGTGATATTGAAGTGAGATGAAAATAAATGTTATCATTCTTTAATTTTTGAATTGAATTTATAGATATCAAAATATTCCGAATATTATTTATACAGAGGATTAATCTTTCGAAATGTTGTATCCTCCTTTCTTTAAATATAAGATGGATGGATGGACGTAATACTTTAACGGTTGAATTTCAGAACCTGTGATGATCACAAAATTCATTAAAACACTATGATAAAATCAAACTCGCTCGGGCGATCATAAAACCAATAAGAACGACGCCTATGTGTTGTTAACACCATTGGCGTAATGACAAATTCCCACGACAGGAATCTATAAATATCACTGTTCAACATCCGACTCCAAAATGTAGGCGTCTACTTGTAATTTTATACACTCCAAATCTGTAACTTAAACCTACGCCATTGATACTTCCTATTACACCAATCATCTTTTGTACAATTGTATCTATAGGTAATCGGTCGTTGAACGTAATACCTTATCTTATTATAATAAACGAAATATCTTACCTAAAAAAATACTTTACTTTAAGCATCAAAATATTACATAAGTATTTCTTGACAGAGTATTCGTACGTTATACGTTAACATTGTCGAAGGTAACTTAATGTCGAAACCTTTACCGTCTTTTCTTCTCGAAGTACTTCAAGCCGTAATCCTCTACGTGGACTTAATTTAGTTTTGGTTGGTGCTCTCTATGAGACGAGATAAGGTAGGAAATACACAGTTGCGGATTTTTCGCCCTTCATCGAGGGTTTGCGCGCTCATCGGACATTGCACGCGCGCAGGTCATTGTAAAATCCCATCTAGTATTCGTACGTATACTAGTATTAGAAGTATTTGATAACGCAGCGCAATAGTTTAAAAGTAGATCTACTATTGTGGACTACTCCAACTCACTAATAACTGATCGATCCAGACGTTTAATTGTCGCGTAATTTTATATTATATAAGAATAACATATTGAAACGCATAAAAATAATACAACAACACCTTCAAATACTACTTACGACATAGAGATAACTTTTATCCTCAATTTATTTTTGGCAGAGCATGTATAAGTTATTGGGTCAAAGGTATAGTTTAAGGTCACAGACAAGTACTATAATTGTCTCCAACACATTGATCTCATTAAATTGTTAAACAAGATTTAAATATAGTTACAGATAATATATCTGGGTAAAAGTATAAAAACCTTAAACATTACCAAGGAGTTATCATTCAAACTTTGGTTTTGCAAAATAATATTTCACAATGGTCCTACAGGTTGGTATTATCAGTTTCTACAAATTTGAACCAAATTTGCTAAATACAAATGAGGAAAAATCACTAATTACTATTATTAATAAGGTGGTATCTTTCCTATTGATATATATTTTTTCTTGTTCCAGATATTATTCATTTTAATTTTGGTAACATCGGCCTATACAACACAAAATGGTGACAGTAAAGAACCGGCAACATCGTATTCAATCATTTACAGATATGACACTGCTGAAGTTACAAATGACCAGTCATCAAATATTAAAATATCTTCTAACGAACCTGAAGCTAACGAACAAGTACCAAAAGGTTACGAAGCGGTGTCTATAGGCTATGACAATATGCCTTTTGTGTATGCAAAAATGCCAGATAGAGTCGAAACATTGAAGCAAATAAATGAAATAAGAGTATCACAAGAAAACGATATGAAAACCTACCAAGAACTTCCAAGTCTTTCAGTTTTTGATTTCGCTCCCAAAGATAATCAAGGCAATCTAAATATGGAAACTACATCTGCACAACAAACGATTCAAACTATACCAATATTACAATCAGGATCTACAAAGTTGGAAGTCAATTCTGGTTCAAGTGCTTCTGTTCTTACTTCACCACAATTAGCAAAGACTGTGACGTATCCGCCTTTGATATCTGCACCACTTGTTCAAGAAGGTAGATTGCTCACCCCAGGGCTGTCTGCTTATGCTTCTGACAGTATGGTTGAAAATGAATCGGTTAAATCTACTTAAACCGATTCTATATCGTCAACAGAACTTATGTACTATTAACTGAATCAGAGGCTTGGTAGATTGTACATAATTTATGATATGCGCGGCTGACTACTTTTCATGTAACCTTAATTAAGTTATTTATTTTAATAGTTTATTGTATTTATTATTATATTTTAATTTGGCTAGAAATAGTTTTATTTCCAATTATACAACGGAAATTAGAAAAATTGCATTTTCAATTAAAAGGAATGGGTAACTCTATAATATTCACAGTCGTTATATTTTTAATGTACATTGAAATATTATGAACTCTTCATAAGTATAATGAAACGTGCATACTATGTGACATTTCTTCGTCTAATTTGACACAATTATGAGGCAATATCTTAACTTAAGATGTGCAATTAAGGTTCCAGCCGCGTAAGAGTGCCAACGTCTATACTCATTCAACTCATTCTGAACCAATTAGGTCGCAACATAATTAACTATTAGTCTTTATTGCCAACAACAACTCCAATTTCTCTTTAGAGTAAATGAATTTTGTAAGTTTTAGTTACTCTAACATCTAATATTTTAGTTTAATTTTATTTTTTGAGGTAAGTCAAATAAACAGGTGCAAAATAGTGATCGAATTTTCAGTTAATATGAAAAAATATACGCCAAATTTAATGTGAAAGCTCACTAGAAAATTATACCATTTCCATTTATTAAATGGCTACCAAGCTGATTGTTATGAAGCTTCTACAAATCCATTTGTAATAATATCCACTATATATTAAAAGTATATATGAAGCAAAAACTTTATATCCCTTTTAACTAAAGTAATGAACGAATTATGGAGTATAAAGTTTGACACAATTTACGTTTTTAAAAAGAAAATTTATTTTTATCTTATAACAAAATGTATCAAATTATTATATAAAAAATTATACACACTACAATATTAAAATGTTTTATGCAGAACTAAAGTTTGGTAGACATCCTAATTTTACTGTACACGCCCGCGTTAATAATAGTCTCTATCACCCGCATATTTTGTAGCTCTTTGTAGGTGAAACGTTTTTCATGAGCAGGTGAATAAGGCTTATTGTCTCATTTTAATATCTCTTTCAATTTGACATTTGAAAGTTATTCTCAGACTTTACGCTGACACTATTTGGCCTAAAATACGATTGCGTTTATTAAAAGAAATTGAGTGAACGATATCATTAATTGACTTTGTGTAAGGCTAGAATCAGACGCAAATATCGTTGGGAATTATTGAAAATTGAATTGAATTGAAAGGTTTGAATGCTAATGGCAATCTTCCGACGGATTTAACTAAGTTTTAATTATGTATGCACCTTTAAAATTTTTATAAATCGCAATTGCTATACCTTTGGGAATATTTGCGATAGATTTTAAGATTAAACAATTACCCGTATCAGTATTTCTGAAGAACTCTTACAAACAAACAAAGTAAGAAACTTTATTATATATTAGTTGTTGTTCGCGACTTCGCACGCGTAAATTATAGCCTATGGCAACCCTATATGATATAGTTACCCGCAGGTGAAAGAATTTGCATTTCCAGTAGTTTCGGGGCCTATTCAATGCAAACCAAATCTTTCCTCTTTATAATATTATTATAGAAGTGTCGATTGACATCGTGTTTACCTACCTATTATATCCCATCAAAAATATAACATGTACAAAAATACACCAGTCTCACAACGCAATTCTTCTGCCTTAAAAAGTTTTCATAACTTTTTACGTATGAAATTCAACCCCTAAGGAAGGAAATTAGAGGATGATAGTTTATATGAAACTTCGTTACTACAAGTGCTAGGAGATTAAAATTTTGTATGCGGATTATTTTCAGAACGTAGATTCTCACTAAAACGGAATTTTGTGAAATTCAACCCTTAATAAGGAAGGAAATTAGGGTATGATAGTTTGTATGAAACTTTGTTACTACAAGTGCTATGAGTTTAAAATTTTGCATGCGGATTATTTTCAGAACGTAGGTTCTCACTAAGACGGGATTTTACGAAATTCGGACCCTAAGTTGGTAAATTAGGGGATGAAAATATTTATGTAATTTTCTCATTTCTGGACTTAAACAAGATCACACAGGTGAAGTTTGTGATAAAATAGATATATGTCACAATATCGAGATCTTGTCTTCCAATTACACGTTACTGCTAGATTCATGAATCAGTAAAACAAGTTTTAATAATAGTAGACCCAACGTGATTTAAATTGTCTTAATAAACTTTAATTGCGATCAACTAGTTTTTAAATTCTCATTTTTTCGTTGGATAATTTATTTTAAATCATTATCATCAATATGTATTTTAGGCTATGTGAATTAACACTTAATGTGAACACTAAATTTAATAAAAACGTCTGCTTAAAATTATGTGCTATTAATTTGCCACAATTACACGCACTTAAACTGATAAGTTTTTCGCTGATATTTATTATTAAAATAATTATTATTGGCTGTTCCATAAATAAACGATTCTCGAACAATCTTGTTTTTATTTTAGTCCTTAGCTATAATTAATTCAGTCTAGGGGAAAACTTTAACAGAAATGTTTACGACAGTTAAACCGATTAGGTTAAGGCAAAATAGAAAAGCTTCAACAATCCTCAGTAAAGATCTCGTACGATGTTATGAGTGAAATATTATTTCTCACACACTTAGCAATGAAATAACAACTGCATCGTCTTTGGGCTCGTTCAAACCGTCTTTATGAGGATTTTGGTACTAGATGCTAGGTGATGATGAACTTGGAAAATGGTCATAGGAACTCAGCAATGAAATAACGCAACTGCATCATGTTTGGGCTCCTTAAATCCGCCTTTATGAGAACAACAACATAGCGACACAAAACTAATATGTTTAGAATTTCATTATTTACGTTTTCGTGCGCACAAATAAAAGCTTGTTTCTAAAAACTTTTTTTTTAATTATTTCCTTAACCGGTACTGTTTTTGTTAAACTAAGTTGATGCAACTAAGCCTTAGTCATTCTTTGGTTTGATTTAAGTGATTTTGGTATTTTTTCTACCTTTTATAAATATTGTATTGTACATACTTCATCATCATCATCATCATCATCATCAGCCCTTTTACGTCCCCACTACAGGGGCTCAGGCCTTTCTTATGGATGGTTAAGGAGGATGGGCCAAGACCCTCCACGCTGGCCCAATGCGGATTGGAGGGTATTAACGACTGAAAATGCAGCCGAGATCAACGGCTTAACGTGCCTTCCGAAGCACGAGATCACAATTTTTTGGTCACCCATCCCATGACCGACCCTTGCGAAAATTGCTTAACAACAACGATCGCGGGCCGCGGCGCTTATCCACTATGCCACCAAGCTACTCATTTGTACATACTTGGATGTTCCTTAATGGTCGAAGGACGTGGATTAGCGCTCTCGCCATTAGACAAAAATTAAGTGTATTGACAAAAATCGTTTACTTTCTCTAAATGCGATTCACTTCGCCACCACCACAAACAAAATGTCTATGTTCTAAGCGTTATATCTTTCTATCTTTTTATACTATATAAATATTAAAAATCATTATCATTAATAATGAACCACTTATAACACACCTACGTACCTAATAATATATCTATATATTGTCTCTAATCAACAATGAATATATATGTAAAAAACGTATCCAATTTGCTTACACAGGTTGAAAAAATTTCAAAAGTATGACCAAGCCTCTGCTTAACTCTCAATCATAATAAAATAACCTCCTTAAAGGTCCATATTTTATTAATAATAATGAATTGGTTCATCAACTTTGATTTTTAAACATCGAATGTAGCGTGCTCTTTTCCTCTTACAGACAGCGTAGAAATAAATTCAATAAACTTGTGATACTCGATTCCCAATATTGTTATAATAAAACCATTTAAATGTTATTCCATATGATCAACAGAGAGCGCATAAAGAAAACAAATAAGCTCTATTGAAAGTGTTGGAATTTATTTGTATAAGTGTCAGGGCATATTAAAGGGCCTTTAAAAATGTTGAGCTTTATAAATCCTGGATCTTGGAAAGTTCAAGAAATCTATGCGCGATCGGTAAAACGAGAAACTTATCATTAACCTGATGAAAAGCTCGTCTGTCGCCAATATCACAAAAGCCACAGAGGTACGATGCGAAATTTCATAAAATTTTAAAATATTAAAGTTTTAACCTTTAGTGCCCTTAGAAATGTAATTGTATAATTTTTCATTAAGGGCTTTATATCTTTGTTCAAAATATGTGATTTTTAATTACAACGTTAAATTACAAAAGTAAATATTTTTGTTTCTCTCATATTTTTGTCCTTTAACAAATAAAGGTTACTTAATCCAAAACTATTATTTCATCTAGTACATAGTAAAACGACTTTATGCTGTGTATTTATAGTTTAATAGTCCTCGTGCTGTTTCACATAACAACATTATTCGCTGTTACCCTGTAACACATATATTCTTAGTTCGGTAACATACGTTTATATTATGGTCGGCCGGACTCACGATTGACCTGTCCACGTGTGTTTCGCAAACGGAAATGTAAGGTGTGGTGCACAACGCGGCACCCGAAGTGGTTGACATGTATGATATATTACTACTGATCATTTACGTAAGTTTATTGTTTTTGTGTATACTGCAGTTAATTTTAGGAATGTAAAATATTTTTTAAATACAATTAACATTTATACTTGTTCAACTTTAAATTTCTTTTTTTACCTTTAAAATCTAAATCCGAAACATCTACACCAATTTTATTAATCCGAATCCAAATATAACCCAAATGATTTTCATACGGGATTTATAATTATCATAAAATTGACCTACCCATAAATAAATTTAAAATTCATGTAAAGAACATACTTATGAGTAAAGGCTATTATAAAGTTGATGATTATTTTAAGGATCGCAATGCATGGAATCAATAGCCTTCGCTTTGTTCTATAACATCTAATTATATGTACAACCCATTACTTTGAAAGATATTTTTATTATTGTGATAATACATATTATTTTAACTGTTTACAACTGGTTTAATGAGTTTAAACGTGGTCGCACTAATCTCACTGATGATTTACGTGAGGGACGGCCTTCTACGGCGACGACTGAAGATAACATCTGTGTTGTGCGGCGTATGATAGAGACTGACAAAAGAGTGACCTATCAACAGATTCGGACAAGCTTAGGCATCGGTATGAGTCAAGTGCACAAAATCCTCCACGAACATTTAGCGGTCAGGAAGCTTTGCGCCCGGTGGATACCTCATAATTTGACTGAGGCTCAAAAACTCCATCGTGTGGATTGGTGTCGTAAAATGATTGAAAGATTTAACGGAGGTGACTCAAATGCTGTGTTCGACATACTAACAGGTGACGAAAGCTGGATTTACTGTTATGATCCTAAAACCAAAAGACAATCTGCTCAGTGGGTGTTTCCTTTCGAGGAGTTGCCAACTAAAGTGAAGAGAGATCGAAGTGCGGGAAAAAAAATGGTGGCCTCGTTCTTTGGAAGGATAGGTCATTGTAATGACATGATTTATATAAATGTCATTACTTGTGATAAAGAGCTGGTAAGTTTCTTTCGCTTGTTCTTCTTTTCAGCTAATAGACGTCCTAAACAAGTTGTAGAAGAAAAAAAAATGAACGATTTAAAAGTGCTTGTAATAAGCCTACTTGAATAAAGATATTTTAATTTCATTCATTGTGATACGGCTTTTACCAAAGAAAAAAAAATCTTGAGGCAAATCGCATATCAAATATCAATATCGCAGCCAAGTGGTATAATCAGTCGAACGATTAGGCGGCTAGCCCTTTAATTGCATGGCGCTATTCAATTAACAGACTGAATTTCAATTAGCTGAGTAGCTGAACGCTATTAACTGCTGCTGCTACTAATTAACTGCTGAAAAAAGACGTTTATTGACACAATGTCGAGCATAATAAAGCAAGCTCTTTAGTTAATTACGAGGTTTTAGTGTATACGTGTAATAGTATTAATTGCTACTTTCACCCATCGAGGCTTTCATCGGCGCACGACAGACTCGGGAACCACGTCAACACTATATTTTTTTATAACAGCAGCGTGCAACGGCACAGTTAAAACTCGCTAATACATGATTCGCAGATAGGCAGAATGATACCGCTCTTATTCTGTTTGGGTCCTTAGTTAGGGGGCTAGTTTATTAATAGAAATATATTTGAACATATTACTTAAATATACGGCTCTTACTTTTTTTATAATATTGATCCATTACTTTCAAGAAAATTTTGCATCAATGTGAACTACTTCTTACTATAAGTAACTTGAACAGACAAAAGCTCCACATGCTTAGAATTTACACAACCTCCTGATAGGCTCGGCCGGTACCGATATACAATTATTTATAATGAGAAAATGTTTTACTTGAATGAGATTAAGATCAACTTGACTTATCTATTGGATCAATTTGCTATCGATGCGTCTATATACGAGTATTTTATTAACTGAGATGCTGGATAATGCAATTTAACTTCGCCATCTCCAAGGTCTGCTTCTTGATCTATTGATTTGCTTCTTGATCTAGTAAATATAGAAACAGACAAATTTTGTTGTAAAATATATAGCACGTGAAATAATTTTTTTCAATGAATCATACTTACCCCCTAATCAATAATTCACTCAGTTCGCCGACATGGTGTCAATTAAGTGGTCTGCTTTTAAAATGCGCTAAAACTTTTTTGTAAAATATGTAACCGCTGAAATATATTATTCATATTTAATTATTCGTAAATTTAAAAACAAATCTGCCTATGAGAGATGAGAAAAGTCCAAACTCGAAGTCGTGTGTTAAAAGTGTACCTCTCAATTAAAAACTATTAGAAGAAAAACATTGAATATAATGATAAAAAATATAAGCCTATTATTTTTTCATCCTGTTCTAAAGTTAAATGTAATAGAGTATTTAATAATATTTTGCATACTTTTATAATTTTACATGAAAAAGTAACAAATTAACATGATTATGCTTCTCAAAGGTGATTTTCTTAATCCTTATGTCCATTTCTAGTGCGACAGGGTTCTTACCGGAGGTAGATCTAGCACAAGGCGTTTGCGCACGGGGGTACTGAGCTCAGTATAAAAGATCGCAGGATCAAATAGATAGTATCACTCGCCTTAGTGGACTTAAAATAGCAATGGCCGCCAAGGTACACACTTTTTTGGATTTTTTGTGAAATATTATCAATTCAGTTAGTGACACAAAAAGTTAACGAACTGTCGAATTACAATTTAAAAGTGATATTTAAAAGTTTAAATTGATAAGTTCGATTATAATTTTGAAGAGAAATAATTAATCCTTTTTTTTATTATATTCAATTGTACAGTTAATTCTTATATTTTTAATGTGATTTACATATTTATCAGGAGTTGATTTAGTTATTTTGAGTTTCAAGAAATATTAATGAAAAATACTCAGTGTTTTTAAGTTATTTTTTTCATAAATTGAAAGTTTCAAAATGAAAAATGTTAGTGTATTGAGTACATACACACAATATGAAAGTGAATATTAGAATACGAGAAATTTAAATAAAAAGAAATCTGATAAATATACTCTAAGTGAAACGCAGGCTACATGTACTGTATATACAGGAGAATTAAGGTAATAGATTTATATTTAATTGTTTTCCCCAGTTTATAATTCTTCTGTGCGCGGTGGCGAGCGCTCGCGCAGGCGGCATCATCGGAGCTTCATATGCCGCCCCTATCGCGTCATACTCCGCTTCTGTCGCACCTATCGCGGCATACTCCGCTCCTGTCAGCTCCTTCGTCAAGAGCTATACCGCACCAGTAGCATCGTACGCCGCCGCTGCCCCCCTTACAACATATGCCGCTGCCGCACCAGTCATCAAGAGTTATGCCGCACCAATAACGTCATACGCCGCCGCTGCCCCCGTTACGACATACGCCGCTGCCTCTCCAATCATAAAGAGTTATGCCGCACCAGCAGCGTATTCCGCATACGCCGCTCCAGCAGCGTATTCCACGTACGCCGCTCCCGCCATCTCCGCCCCAGTGGCGTACTCCGCTCCGATAGTGAAAGCCGTCGCACCCGCCGTGTCATCAGTGTCCTCATATACTACACAAACGGCCCACGCATCTCCTATTTACGCTAAAGCCGTGTCTCCTGTCGCCGCGTACACCGCCCACGCTCCCGTTGCCTACTCCGCCCCTGTGACCACTTATGCCGCAGCTGCCCCAGTCGCAAGCTATGCTGCAGCCCACCCTGTTGCCACTTTTTCCGCAGCTGCCCCTGTTGCCACCTACGCCCACGCTTCCCCCGTGGCATACTCCTCTCCCATCATCAAATCTGCCGTCGCATACTCCGCAGCTCCCGCCGTCTCCCACGTTGCATACAGCGGTCTTGCTAACTACGGCTGGTGATCGATTTGATTGAAAATTGAGTGTACAAATCTAGTTATTTAATTTGTATATTTATTCTTACACAGTGCGAGTAAAATTGAAAATTATCTAATAAGTTGTGATTTATTTTCTCCTAGTTTGTCATCCTATCAACTTAAAATTTGGAAAATATGTTTTATTTGGAGTATTTATTGTAATATTTTTAATCTCTGTGTGAAAAATGAGTAGCATTATTTATAATTAAATATAACACAGATATTAAGTTATGACTGTCATAAAAGTGATTGTAAAAATCAAAAAAGTATCAACTAATTGGTCGGGGAAAAAGTTTTTTTGCATTTATATGAAAATTCTAAACTTTTTTAATAAATTTCATTTACATTTAACTAAAGTATGTAGGTACCATTTTGTTCGATAACTTTTTGCCATAAGTGGTTTTGGCAACCTTCGTGTGATATTAAATTGAAATGAAGGAAGAACAAAATGCTTAAAATTTGAACTACCTAATGTTAAAAAATATAAATGTTAATATAAAAGATAAGAACATGGGCCTTGTGGATACCACAGTATTTTTAGGAATAACATTAGATTCTAAACTACAGTGGGGCCCACATATTGATAGATTGTCGAGTAGACTTAGCTCTGCAGCATATGCCGTAATGAAAATACGTAGGTTAACTGACATAGATACTGCCAGATTAGTATACTTCAGTTACTTTCATAGTGTAATGTCGTACGGAATCCTATTGTGGGGAAATGCTGCCGACATACAAACATTTTTTGTGCTTCAGAAAAGAGCAATTCGATCAATTTATAATCTTAGGATTAGGGACTAGTTAAGGAAGAAATTTAAGGAAATAGACATTATGATTGTTGCTTCTCAATACATATACGAGAACTTAATGTACGTTCGTAAAAATATTAGTTTGTTTTCTATAAAAAGTGATGTACACAATTTAAATACAAGAAATAAAAATAAATTAACGGTGCCTGTCACTAGACTGCAAAAAGTTAATAACTCGTATAAGGGTCTTTGTGTGCGCTTCTACAATAAGGTCCCAAGCAAAATACAACAATTAGATATCATGCAGTTTAAATCTACTATTAAAAAAATACTTATTAAAAAAGCTTATTATAAGGTATCCGATTATATAACAGATAAGAACGCTTGGACTTGAGATGATCCAGCAACTGTATAGGTGATTACTTCTATTTCCATTATTCATCATTATTCTTGTTTCCATTATTATTAAATAATTATGTTATCATTATAAGACCATAGTTTTTTTTTTCTATCTCTGTTTATAATGTATTGATCTGGTAATGACATGGTTTTTGTAAATGTCATTACTCTTATTAGAGCTGGTGAGTTTCTTGCTCGTTCTTCTTATCAGCCAAAAGACGTCCTGAACGAGTGGTAGGGAAAAAATGGTGGACGATTCTAAAGTACTTTTAAGAAGTCTATTTGAATAAAGATTATTTTAACTTTGACTTTGAAACTGCCTAAAGAATTCTGAAGATATCGATACAGGTGGAAATCTGAAGGTGCAAGTTCAGAACTATACGGCGGACGCATTAACACCTCCCAGCCAAACTCTCTTTATTTTTGCAGAGTGGCAAAAGATGTGTGAGGTCTCGCCTTACCGTGATGAAAAACCACATCCCATCCGCTTTCACGCAACTTGCTGTTTTAATCTCATCAGTTGTTCGTGGTAGAATTCAGAACCGATGGCACTGCGTGGCGGTAACAGCTAATAAAAAATAATGCCCTTCCAATTCCACTATGCACACAGCATCACCGCCTTGCGAGTTAATTCAGGTTTCGCCACAGTCTGTGAAGCCTGACCGACCTTTAACCATCACTTTTATCACCAATTATCAGCTCCTTTAAAAATGGTTCGGTTTCATTACGCCGTAATAAAAAAACACAAATGAGTACACGGTTCATTAGGTTTCTTTCAGTGAGCTGGATACCTCACCCAAATATCCAATTTTGTTCTGTACCTAGAATTTTTCAAATGTGCCAAAACTATTTTTTGGTCAATCCCCAATTCTTCAGCTACGTCGTAACTACTGATATGCCGATCTTGCTAAAGTTTTTTAAAAATCGCCTTCATTTTATCCGTAACATGGCAACCGGAGCAACGTGCATAACTGACATTCCGGACTGAAAACGCTTAAACCACATTTGTTACAGAAACTGCACTAGGTCCCATAAACGTCACAATTCTTTTTTCGCGGCTTGTGTTGCATTTTTACATTTTTGTGATAAAGTAAAGTTTTAAAATGTGTCGTTTTTATTCTTTAGATCCACTCATTTTGACAGTAAGAAAAACAAATGAAAATCACACATTTTTCTAATTTAAATTCGGAGTTATCTTTTTAAGGATTTAAACTTTTTAATGTTATCCAGCTTTCTACAAACGGTATAGCCAGAAAGGTTTTATAACAAGTTTATGTATCCTGTTTGTATGTAGTTTATATATGCGAAAAGCATATAGCACTTTTTCCAATATTTGCATCATTAATTACTATATTCTAAGTTCAGACAACACTGCGTTTAAGCGCACTTAGATACAATTATATAAGTTATTAGCCATATAAGTTGTTACAAAACAAAAAAAAATGATAGTAATTTTTTTCATTTATTATTTTATTTTAAGGCTGAGATCACACTGCGTTTTAATATCATAATCTGCATTTCCTTTACTTGTGAGTTGTGAAGTAACTTACAGTAAGTAGATAATACCTAATTAGCTGTTGAATTGTATTTTACAAATATTTTGAATAAAAAATAAATCAAAAAATTTTGGTTAACTCTATAACATAACGTGCATTCCGGAGAAACTAGCGTTAGTAAATTATTGGCCCATCCTACGAACGGTACTTGTAAAAGTTGCTTAATTTCCGTATCACAGTCCAAACGTATATAAAAAAACTTTAAATAACATTTTAATTACTTACTCTTTAACTATTAATTACGTTTTGACGCGCTACGCTTACTAGGGTTCATGGATAGAAACATAACTTTAAATTGACCACCTATGTAAAACCACATGGAAGCAAAAAAGTTGAATTGAATTGAATAAAATATGAAAAATATAATTTAGAATACTAAGAATAGCTAAAGAATAAATTTTATGAACAATTAAAAATAAATACTTATGATTGAAACAATCATAAATTCTCAGAATTCATTTCAAGAATTCAACGACCATTTAATCTAATAAGATTCATAAATAGGTAATAAAATATTTATTTGAATTAATCTGATAACAGTACTTGTCGACACTATAAAATATGTCAGCAATAAAATTCAACATTAGTGACGACATGATATTTACATGAAATCAAGCCTAAAAACCGAACAGAATAACCCGCAGACTGATTCTGCTAATGTTTATCAAAAATCGTATTTTAATATTTTGTGATATAAATGGTAAAGAAAAAAGAAACTGTTACAAACAAAAAATTAATATAAAAATAGTTCGTATGTTAAACTCAATATTAAATTTAAAATTACCAAATAAAACAAACACATACCCCTTTTTGGGTTTCTTAATAAAGTCAAAGTCAAAGTCAAAATAATCTTTATTCAAATAGACTTCTTAAAATTACTTTTGTATCGTCTTACATTTTTTTCCCTACCGCTCTTTCAGGACGTCTTTTGGCTGATAAGAAGAACGAGCAAGAAACTCACCAGCTCTAATAGGAGTAATGACATTTACAAAACCATGTCATTACCAGATCAATACATTATAAATAAAGAAAGAAAAAAAAAAGAAACTATGGTCTTATAATGATAACATAATCATTTAATAATAATTAAAAACTTAGATCGTCCAAGTTTCAGGATATACTTTTATTTTATTTATAAATTTATACGATTTACAATATTCACAACAGAAGAAATTTTTACGAAATTACATCCATAAAGAGTATATTTGATTAGTCAAAATTTCAAATTACGAAAGGTGAATAATAAAAATAAATGATGTTGAATGTCAAAGACAAAAAGTTTGCATACGGAAACCTAGGACAAAATAAACGGTTACAGCACTATTAAGTACAATAGTACAATGCAAATAATTGAGATTATCTTGAATTATTATCATTACGTAAACATTAGAACTACAGTTTCTTCAAAAGTTTTACACTATATCATTTCGTAGCACGTGTATATAAAAAAAAAAAAATATTTTTTGATTATAAACATGCGTATGTTCCGCTGCAGTATACAGTCACGAGTCACGACAAATGAATGAACTTATATCGTGCGTGACGTGTTTGGACATACCGAGATCTGTGAATGAGCATGGTGCAATGCACCGTTTTAGGCTGTTCACACCTATTTGCATGTTTTTTCGTAATAATGACGCTATAAAGATCTCTGTACACTAAAAGCTACTAAAAGAAAATGGAATTGCGTTGTCTACGCTGCCATATTTGAATTCAAATTGATAGCTCAGTCGTTTCCATTAAGTTTTATTAATTTGGTTTTAGTCTTTACATTCAAATATGTTATTAAGAGTATTATACAATTTTTTTTATTTATATGCACCTAGCATGTATGTATTATTATCGCACTGCATTTTTAATTTTAAATTATAATTGATATAAAATGTATTGTTAGTTCATTTACTAAGTCTGATGCGCACAACGCACCCTGGAATTCCTTTGCAGTGGTAACACAGGTCTCCCACGATTCCCTTGCACGCAAACAAAATAAAATATTTACATATTAATTAATAAAATAAGCGTATTATAAAAAAACGCGTAACAATTGATTTTATAATTTATAACACTACGTTATCCAATTTTACGTACAAGAGTTAACAACATAGTGATGTTGTATATAGTCATCAAGCATAAGGATCATCAAAATTATTTCATCTTTCTAATCAGTACATAATTATTCTGCCACGCTTTTGTTGTGTTGAAGCCTTAAATGAGACTGTTCAATATGAGAGCGAATTTGTGAAGTTGGTCTAAGGTCATCCATGAGAATCTGAAGGAATTTA